TTGACAAGGTTCATTTGAAGTCCATCCACCAGCTCTCATTATTTTTAACTATTTTTTAGAACCGTTGTTCTAAAATGTTTATGTTGTTTGATGACAGAATCATGTTTATACTACATGCGAAGTTTAGAAATCAATGCTTTATTGATTCACGTTCGTTTTAAATTTCTGAAAGTTAATTATGCTGAAGAAGTTTTATAATCAAAATATACTTTATTATGAGAGAGGGAAGGTTAGCACTGCTTCATTTTCTATAACTAGTCCTACGCCGGCATTACAGAAAACGGATCAAGCAGAGAGCGCTGGTGGAAGGTAAACCCTACGAACCTTGGGGATACATGGTCGCTATAACAAGGCACGAGGTGGTGGCTAGGAAGGCACAGTATGAACCGTGACCAGGACCTTCTAGCAGTGCCGCCACAGAAAAAAATACCATGACACCTCAGGGATGTGATATTATCGGTTTTGATGTAAATCGCTTGATATCTTTCTAAGGAGCTAAAGTTCATTGCGGCCGAATGTTTCGCTTCATTGTATCCTGCGTTGTGTGGGAACTTGTCGAAGTTTGTGACTTGACCGCCGGTTTCAAGCCTTTCAACGCTTTATCCAGCGTAAAGCCTACCTCATTACCCGTGTTGTGCGTAGGACTGATGAGATGGTAGTTTGCAGTACGGTCGTTAATAATATTATTTATTAACTCAAAACAGGTGGTCACATCACCTTTTCTGAGCAGCACTTGAGGGGCAAGTGCCACCAATCACAGTGCAGTGTCGCCGCTCGGGCCTCGCACACTCCACATAGATGCTGATCGTCAATAAATAATGTTTCACTCCATGTTAGTAGTCAAGATAATCCTCTTAGCAGTTTAACATTAGAGTTTAACATTGTAACTGTGCCATCACAGTCTATAGTTCTCTATATCACCTAGCATCCAGATGACCCATGAAAAGCCTCCGATAAGCTGAAGGGAACTAATTACTCTAAAGAACACTCGAAACATGAACAGTCTAAAGAACAATGTGCGAATGACAAGAACCCATAGAGGTTTATAAATTGGATGGGAATGACTAACATGAAGTATAGTGTGTTGAGAGATGAGGTATGATGATTATAATGCTGTATTTACATGGACAAATGACCAGGAGACTATTATTGTGAGACAATGATTCATTTACAGGTTATAAGACGTCTCTGCGACGTTCGTATAGATTTGAAAGATCAGGAGAATGCGAGTGATATATGAGAGTGACGGGAATATGACTGGAGGAGAAGAGTGGGGTAGACCTGAGGTGTACACCGACAGCCTTAAGCAAAGACAGAATAACATCTGGATTATACCTCCTGAAAGTTGTATTTATCCCACATATATTTCCAAGTTTTATGAACTGTCTAAATTCAAAGAGAATTGTCTGTTTTTCTTTAGTTTTTTTGTCTAATCCAATGTAAATACCAATATTTGTCTAATACCTGTATTCTGTAGCTACAACCCCGGGTCACAAAGGCCCGCCTGCCTTAAGCTGGTGATTATTCATAACTAAAATACACGTAGAAAGCAGTAAGGACAATACCGAAGACCTGGGGGTGTAGTGCCCCTTTACTACGACCATTCTTTAAGGTCTTTCAGCACCCAAGGTGTGACCACTAAAGTGTGTAGCTCTTGGAAGGTGTTTTGGTCTTGGTCAAGAGCTTCCCTGAGCGGTAATCAACAAGGAGAAAACCTCCCCTTGGATACAGCTTCAAGCCAACCAAACCAACTAGATCAGCGACTACTGAAGATGGGGAGAGGGATAGGACGAGGTGTGTCTGACGGCCACCAGTTGTGGTATAGGAGAGACCTCCTACACCACAACTGGTGGCCGTCAGGAGAGACCTGTAGTATGCGAGACCTCGAGCAGGGACGTGCACCCATGCCTGCCTGTGGATGTAAACAGCCTACCTACAGCGTGTATAACAGTGTGGGTGGAGTCATACAGCGTGTATAACAATGTGGGTGGAGTCATACAGTGTGTATAACAGTGTAGTAGAGTCATACAGTGAGTATAACAGTGTTGTGGAGTCATACAGCGTGTATAACAGTGTGGGTGGAGTCATACAGCGTGTATAACAGTGTAGTGGAGTCATACAGCGTGTATAACATTGTTGTGGAGTCATACAGCGTGTATAACAGTGTGGGTGGAGTCATACAGCGTGTATAACAGTGTAGTGGAGTCATACAGCGTGTATAACAGTGTGGGTGGAGTCATACAGCGTGTATAACAGTGTGGGTGGAGTCATACAGCGTGTATAACAGTGTGGGTGGAGTCATACAGCGTGTATAACAGTGTGGGTGGAGTCATACAGCGTGTATAACAGTGTGGTGGAGTCATACAGCATATATAACAGTGTAGTGGAGTCATACAGCGTGTATAACAGTGTGGTGGAGTCATACAGCTTGTATAACAGTGTGGGTGGAGTCATACAGCGTGTATAACAGTGTAGTGGAGTCATACAGTCTAAATCAACAGAAAGGCACAACAAACAAGACGGGAAAACCAACGCCAATTGGGTCGTCAGCCAAACGTTCCGGTCCCCACCTAAAGTATGGATCACCTACTGTGCTCTCTACGTCAACTTTACTACATGCACACATCTACATGTCGAGTAAAGTTAAGTACGCTCCCGGCCACACAATGACGTAGGCGGTAGTCTTGCCTTCTTTACAAATGGATGTCAATAAAATAGAGTCAATAACTATAACAGTATGGCTGTGAGAGCACGGGCCGTCCGCCTTGCTGTCCGGATCCAGCCATCTGAACGACAACAGTTGCCGCGCAAAAGACACACATGTCCTTTCGATTAGCGCCGGATTGAACACGTCGCAGCGTCGCTTTCTCTGGAGTAGGAGCAGACAGCGATACGCGGAGTACCGTCCCGTGCTCCCAACGCAGTCCATATCATCGGTACTTTTCCTCAAAAAGGTAACAGTAACCAAAAATAATCCCGTAGTACCAGTACTCATCCGTAGCATAACGGGCGTTGCACTAGATTAAAAGGGGCTATATTACAGCTCAGGGGGATCAAACAGTCATATTAATGGTATTATTATCAATAAGGTGCATTTACAGAGGTGGCAGTGCATAGATGTTATGTTATTGAAGAACTCTCTACAAAAAGTATTTATTGCTTTCTTTGTAGGATCACCATGCATAACGACTTAGCCTTTAAAACTAAAAACTCAGGCTAGAGAGTTAGCGACTCGTCGCAAAGGAAGAAAAAAGGAAGTTCTCAATCGACCAGTTTAGTCAACTGGAATATAAAAGCAATTTTAGCAACCTATATAAATGTTCATACCACTATTAAAAACTCAATTACAAAAAGGATTCAGTGCAGGACAATGGTAACTGGCAGAGTTCTCAAGACTAAATACATCGTTTAACAGCCGAGAAATAAATTTTAAGTCCTTTAGCATGAGAACCAACCTACCCTGAAACCTACAGTTGACCTTCAAAGCTTCACTAGTCGTCCTCAACGACATCTAACCTGGTTGCAAGAACGGGAACGAGACCAGACTCTGTGATCATTACGATAGATTGTAGTTAAAACTCATTTTTCAGATATTCAAACAAAATAAAACAGGTCTTACTACAATACCATCCAAGATCTACATCGGCTGACCCCACCATGAATTGAGCAGCATAAATCAATGTCATGACCTAGTGGCTTAAAGAGACTAGCTGGACACTACCTTACCTAGAGCTACGAGTCCCTATTAATAAGACTTTAAAATTCATCGTCTGTATGGGGCTGACCGACCATCAGTAGTTCGTAGAACTTTTAAAAGAGTTCTTCAAAATGTTAGAGAAAACTATCTTATTTTATATATATATATATATATATATATATATATATATATATGTCGTACCTAGTAGCCAGAACTCACTTCTCAGCCTACTATTCAAGGCCCGATTTGCCTAATAAGCCAAGTTTTCCTGAATTATATATATACTATAATTTTTTTCTTATGAAATGATAAAGCAACCCTTTTCTCTATGTATGAGGTCAATTTTTGTTATTGGAGTTAAAATTAACGTAGATATATGACCGAACCTAACCAACCCTACCTAACCTAACCTAACCTATATTTATAGGTAAGGTTTAGGGAGCCAAAAAAGCTAGGTTAGGTTAGGTTAGGTAGGTTAGGTAGACGAAAAAACATTAGTTCATGAAAACTGCTTATAGGCAAGGGCCTTGAATAGTAGGCTGAGAAGTGCGTTCTGGCTATTAGGTACGACATATATATATATATATATATATATATATATATTATTTTTTCTAAACTGCATAAAGTAAAAATTTATTTTGAAAATTCTATTTATATACTCCACACGTTTATAAATCTGTCACATAATGCCACACCGAATAAGTCTGGAGGCTAAAAAAAGATTGATATTTACATATGTGAGAGCTAAAATAAGCTTAGATAGTAAGCCAAAATGTTATGAATAAGGACATTAAATTCTTTTTTATTTTTTGGTAATTACTAGGAGCCAAAAAATGATTCTGTACAAATACGATCCAAGAAAATATGAGAAAACTGTGAATAAGGAAAGATGTTTTAAGTGACCAGAAACAGTGGAGTCTAAAAGTGGAGTCGCTATAATGCTATATTGGGCGACACATCTCAGCTAATGTAGCTGGGAGTGGCCACCATACGACCATTCTACAGTCGTTCTCACCATGGTCACTATACCTCTGCCTTCACGACCGGTCGTCCTCCCACCTCCAGTACACCCCTGTGGTGGTGTCTCCACACACACACACACACACACACACACACACACACACACACACACACACACACACACACACACACACACACACTGAGGACGTGTGGATGTGTATGTGTTAGAGATAAATATATGTAGTAGACATAATAGAGGAAAAATAAATTTGTTAGAAAGGTGGGATCCAAGAGTTAATAGCTTGATTATGCAGATACAAATAGTAAATACACACACACACACACACACACACACACACACACACACACACACACACACACACACACACACACACACACACACACACACATGTGACTACCATGGCAGTCTAGTCAATCTCTATTTTATCTTTATTGGACACCAACCATAGGCGGAGTTTAACAGACCTACTCTATAAAAAGTCAAGTTCTAACCAGTTGTGGAGACACATGGTGTGTGTGTGTTTGTGTGTGTGTGTGTGTGTGTGTGTGTGTGTGTGTGTGTGTGTGTGTGTGTGTGTGTGTGTGTGTTGACGGGTGGGAGGCGGGAGACAAAGACCTTGAAGGGAGTGGTGAGTTTATTTGTAGAAGAACCCCAGGCTGCCGCTCACGTTCCCGCTGCCGCCTCGTCTCTCTCGCTTATTCCCCCACACCACACACCTCCATACTCTTCTCGTGGCTGTTATTTCCCCCTTTATCCCCTATTTTTTTCCCCCGCGCACTCTCGTTTTCTTTCTCGTAAGTCTCGCCTTGCTTTAGGGGGGTGCACTTCAAGACTATATTAACTATAAAGGACAAAAAACATATCTAATGTGTTTTTGGGGGATAGATTTATCTGTTTTTTTTTCTGTCACTCGTCCATGATTCACTGCTCGGTGTTTCGTGGCGCAGTAGTCTTGATATAGTAAGCAACACCAGCAGAAGAGTTGAGATTGAGCCTATAGATGTACACAATTTATCATCGCCAGCCTTGCATATCCAGTCTTGTTCTCTCTTGTTCTCTCCAGTGTAAGTGAACGTTTCTCCAATCAGTATCTGTTCTTTTTATGTTTTGTATTTACTCCCTGTATAGCTATGTGAGGTCTCTGATAACAAAATTTGTACCGCACACGAAACATGAAATCTCTATTTTCTCTAATAATATATATTTTTTCCCGTTAAACACTGATAAATGACAGATTTTGTTTTTAAAGTTTATAGTAAGAGTACCAGGTTCAGAGCTTTCCCCCCCTAGCAATTGCAATAAATTTGACTCGTAACTTTCAAATCAGCACTGATTTTTGTTGCAAACAATCCGATCACTTTTGGCTTTGTTGCAATCAGTCGGGTCACCTTTGACTTTATTGCGATCACTACTTAATTTAACTGTGCATTATCATAATTTTCACTGTAGTTCACTCCCCGCAATTATTGCTATCAACACCAACATTTGGATTTTGACGAGGAACGAGTGGGACTTGGTGCGTGAGGTCAGACGATGTCAGGATGTCCCAGGACGTCCCATACAGTCTCAGGAATGTCTCGGGCAGTCTCAGGATGTCCCTAGACAATCTCAGGGTGTCCGCTGCAGTCTCAGGACCCCCAGGCAGTTTTGGGAGGTATCCCAAGCAGTCTTGGGATGTCTCATGTCATCTTGGGGATGTCCCAGACCCTTCTGTTGGCGTCCCGACCATTACCGTATTGTAAGTGATGTAATGCTTTACCGTATATAACCACTCCTATACCTTCGTGTTTGCGTGTGTTTAACGTATGTATATATGTATAAGCTAAAGCCAATGTGTTAATTTTTGAGCGTGTGTAGTTCCTGAACAAAAGCAACCTGTGTGCGTATCGTCCCAGTTGCGTGGCAGACATCATTCGTTTAACGAAATTGTTTACAGGCTTCGATTGCAACTTGCAATAGCAACATTTTGTGAGGTTAAATGTGTAGGGACTGAATGGCGGAGAGTGCGTCATTGTTTGGATTTGCAACTTGAGGCTGTGGCTTGCAAAGCTGGAACAAATTGCAGGTCAAGCATTCGGGTGGTAATGCTGTGGTTTTAAGGAGTGTGTTTTCTGTGTGGACAGCGTGATGCTGTAGGCTGGCGTGTGTGTGAGGCGGTGTGATCGGGCCGCTCGTGAAGGGGGTGACTCTGACAACGCAAACCTTTGTGGTGGGCCAACAGCACACTAACACACTTGCTTGGCGTGAACAAAACCGTGCGAGAATGGCAGCAGAAATGGCAGCGTTGCGTTGTTAGCTATGAGTTCACACGGCAGCATGAGGCAGCGTGTGAAGGAAGGCAGCCAGGGAGGTGGGGATGGGCGTGGCTTGGGCATGGAGGTCCCGGGCTGGGCTGGGCTGGGTGTAGGCCGACGACGGAGGCCGGCGTCGGGGCCGACGATGGGCGCCCGACGTCGGGGCTGACGACGGGGCCGGCGTCGAAGCTGACGGGGGCCGGCGTCGGGGTCAGGTGTTGGCAGGACACGGCACATCAGGAGGAGCGGCTCGCTCTCTCCGCTGACCGGAATACTTTCTGCGGAACAACGAACTTGTTACTAAAAAAGAATGACATGACTTTCCTTAAATCTCGTCAACAAAAGTGGCATACTATTGTTATTGCTGATATAACTGGACAGTGTCGTTAGTAGTAAAATTGTAGTTTGTAGTAAAGCCAAGATATGAAGTTTACAGTGGCAAACGTAAGGCAAAGGGCCCTATATGGGGGTATGTAAGGCTTTCTTCTTTATTAATTAATGTGGAGAACCAAGCGAGTCATAAATAGGGTTATTTAACTACCTGAGTTGGCTAGGAAATTGAAGATAAATGTCTCCATTTGTGTTCTGAGGATCTGTTTACACAAATGTACGGGTGTATATTTGTGTAAACAGATCCTCGCAACACTAACAGCTTCTAACTCACTAACAGGTAACAGCTTCTCGTCCGTGTCAACCTGCTTTGTGCCCTGGAGAGGCCACTCCAGACCGACAACCAGAGCGCAACTCCATAGTCTCCTGAGACTGATGGATGCCTACTACTACTACTACTACTACTACTACTACGGGTGTAATTGACAAAGACCAGGATTTTTCAAGCATTTAAATGGCCGCTTCCGAAACCTGTACATTTTTCCCCAATCATAGGGGGCATAGTCTTGATTTATTAATAGTTTACGAGCTTGGGAACGCTGCGAAGTCGTCGTTGAGCCAAAGCTGTTGTTGCCGTAGACAATCTGGTAACGCTTCCGTATTTATGAACTGTTTGGTGATATATATTTAACCTTCTAAGCCGTCATGATTGAAGAAAGATGTATACATGTATTGTATACATTTCGTTTTATTTGCGAGGGGACTATTAGATGCTTGATGGAGACCAGACCACACACTAGAAAGTGAAGAGACGACGACGTTTCGGTCCGTTCTGGACCATTATCAAATCGATTGAGAATTGTCCAGGACGGACCGAAACGTCGTCGTCTATTTACTTTCTAGTGTGTGGTTTGGTCAACATTTTTCAGCCACGTTATTGTGACTCCTCGTCTGCTTGATGGAGATTGGCCATAAGCTTGGCAGGAGTGGAAGATTATCGGAATATATTGTCTCTTTCTGAGATGGGCGTGAAGAAGGGTGTCAACAGAGCTTGACCGCCTTCTCAGGCAAATACAACGTTATGTTTAATAGCGATTTTCAAGTTGTTTCAAGTTATAATTAAAACAAAATTGTGTTTACTGGGTTATAGCTACGTTACATTTTGTTCAGCTTCATCTGTTTTATGCAGGATTCGAGCTCTTGCATTTTGATGTGAAAGGCGTCTAAGACCTGTATATCTATGTGCTGCGAGACTACTGTGTTATCTTTTCATGTAATGAACAGGATAGCAGGTTGCATTTCGCCTTTGATTAGATTCCTTATAAGTCTACGGATATTTTTTTATTCATGCATGTTTATACAACAAATTTTGATATGTAATTAAATTTCGGTTCCTGTGTCAAATGTTTTCAAATTGAATTCAATTAACATTCTATTATCAGATAAATTAAGCATTTAAATGAAGTGGGGTTGAAATGTGACTTCCACGTCCTTCTTAATGCTAGGTCGATCTTCCCATTATTCAAAAGAAGATATGATGAACAAATTGATCGGGAATCATTGTATTAGACTACCTGGCGGCCGGAAAGGGGAGGCTAAGGAGCTGAAGCTCGATCCTGCTGGCGTAACTAGGCGAGTACAAATAGGAAACACACACACGCACACGCGCGCGCGCGTGCCACAGAAGAGTTAAGGGAGACATTATCAGGAACACGAACACGGGAACACAGGTGGAAACTTAGCGCCCAAAGTGAGCCACAGAGACAACACAACTAGGTGAGTACACACACGCTCACTGAATAGTCACCCAATGGAAATTTCTGCTCAGAATAGGTCGTAGCCCTATTGGCCAAGCGGTCGAGGGGGTGTTCCACGTAGGGTGAGGGCACCAAAGAGGACTTGAATTGCCAGTTTGGTGTTTGCCAAAAAGGCCAGCAGGACGTGATTCCTCATTCTGCTACAGTCGAACTGATCAAATTAATACAGCTTCCTCCCTCTCAACCTTCACTATCTCCTCCCTCTTTCCCCTTATCCACCACATTCCTCACTTAAACTCCTCCCCCCCCATCATTCTCTCTCACACCCTCCCAGATGATTCAATTGGTAAACGGTACACGGTACTGTGGTCACTGTACCGTGTACGTTTGTGGGAGATGTTGGGCGTCATGGGTTCGAATCCTGGCCGGGTCATTTAGAGTTCTTAGTTATGTTGTTCAGTTTTACAAAAACAAAAGATCTGCAATAAGATATTGACTTTCATTCATGAGGAATTTTTGTATCACACTAAAATTCCTATTTCTTTTTCTTTTGAATTACGAAGAAAATAGTTTTGTGTATCGAACTTAATTTCGTATGTTTTTCTTTTAATTAAAATACGAAGAAAACCCTTCCCATGGGCGGCAATCACCCGCCCCAGAACTCCCGCCATTATCTCCCAGAAGGACGTGATGAGGGATCCAGTCCTCTTAGAATGGAATCGGTCGCATGTGAAGCGATGCTATGTTGTCTCTCCTCCCTATGGCGCGTTGAATCTCGTCCTCTATCATCATCCTTGGACATTGTGTCCTGCATGCTTGCCTGAGCATTTTTCAGGTCACTAGTCGACGGGAGATAGGTGGGGGGTGTGTTGTGGGGTGTGGTGTGGGGTGTGGTGTGGGGTGTGGTGTGTGGGTGTTGTTGAGGTGTTGTGGGGGGGGGGGTGACAGTTTGATGTTTGCTTGTTCGTACATTGGTGTGGGAGTTCAATTCTTTGGTCGTGCCTCTCAGCTTGTATCCGACTGATGTAGGGTTAATAATTACTATATGTCACATGGACAATGTTGAGATGGTTAAATCTGAGGTGTGACTGAAGCATCCCCCCTCGTCTGCCCCCCCCCCTGAGGTGGGACGGAAAAGCCCCCTCCACCACCCTAAGGTGTGACTGGAGCACCCCCCCTCCACCACCACCCCGGCGCACAAGGGAAGGAGCCGCCAACGATCTATCAAAGCATTAGCAGTATCATGACAGAGTTCCACCTGCTCCTCCCCACAGTCATCAGCGGCTCGTTCGTGTGCCAACTTTCCCCTTATCCTTCAACGCATTAGCCTACTGCTATCATATCCCCTGCCAGACACACACACACTCACACACACACACACACACACACACACACACACACACACACACACACACACACTTACTCCATACTCCATACACTCCAGTTTGCTGACTCCATACACAGTTTCAAATGTAGATATGATAGACCCTAGTAGGCTCAGGAATCTGTACACCAGTTGATTGACGGTTGAGAGGCGGGACCAAAGAGCCAGAGCTCAACCCCCGTAAACACAACTAGGTGAGTAAACACACACACACACACACACACACACACACACACACACACACACACACACACACACACACACACACACACACACACTGCAGAGGGAGATAATTCCCTTCACGATTCACCACAACATTTGATGAGAAATTACTCCAGACAAAGGTTATTAACATATGCATTTCATGCAGTGTGCAGAGGTACCGAGAATGGAGTCGAATACTAATCCGCCGGGAGCAGACTGGCAGATCATGACACCTGCACCAGGTGTTGTTTTAGTAAGCAGACGAGGAGTCACAATAACGTGGCGGAAGTATGTTCACCAGACCACACACTAGAAAGTGAAGGGACGACGACGTTTCGGTCCGTCCTTGACCATTCTCAAGTCGATTGTGAGAATGGACTTGATCGACTTGAGAATGGTCCAGGACGGACCGAAACGTCGTCGTCCCTTCACTTTCTAGTGTGTGGTCTGGTCAACAATCGTTTTAGTAAAGTCACGACCATAAACAGTGGCGTGACAAGAAGGTAGAAATGCAGATGCAAACAAAACAACGTGATGTTTTGGACGAGAAAACGGGAAATGAAAAGGGGCGAATGAGCGTGAAGGAGAAAATTGAAAAGTAAAAAACTCGAGGTCATGGAAAGTAAACAGGGAAGAGAGGGCGCGTCTCGCATCCCGGACTCGTCTAAACTGTTTATAAGACACAATCGGCTCCCTCGTGCATCGCTACGAGGCGCAGGAGGGGTGCGCCTCGTACACTGCCACTAGGGGGGGTGAGCTGGGCTGCACCCCCTGTCACACTGTTCAAGCAGTGGGCCCTCTATGCTGCACCCCCTGCCATATTGTTCAAGCAGTGGGCCCTCTATGCTGCACCCCCTGCCACATTGTTCAAGCAGTGGGCACTCTATGCTGCACCCCCTGCCATATTGTTCAAGCAGTGGGCCCTCTATGCTGCACCCCTGCCACATTGTTCAAGCAGTGGGCCCCCTATGCTGCACCCCCTGCCACATTGTTCAAGCAGTGGGCCCTCTATGCTGCACCCCCTGCCACATTGTTCAAGCAGTGGGCCCTCTATGCTGCACCCCCTGTCACATTGTTCAAGCAGTGGGCCTCCTATGCTGCACCCCCTGCCACATTGTTCAAGCAGTGGGCACTCTATGCTGCACCCCCTGCCATATTGTTCAAGCAGTGGGCCCTCTATGCTGCACCCCTGCCACATTGTTCAAGCAGTGGGCCCCCTATGCTGCACCCCCTGCCACATTGTTCAAGCAGTGGGCCCTCTATGCTGCACCCCCTGCCATATTGTTCAAGCAGTGGGCCCTCTATGCTGCACCCCCTGCCACATTGTTCAAGCAGTGGGCACTCTATGCTGCACCCCCTGCCATATTGTTCAAGCAGTGGGCCCTCTATGCTGCACCCCTGCCACATTGTTCAAGCAGTGGGCCCCCTATGCTGCACCCCCTGCCACATTGTTCAAGCAGTGGGCCCTCTATGCTGCACCCCTGCCACATTGTTCAAGCAGTGGGCCCTCTATGCTGCACCCCCTGCCACATTGTTCAAGCAGTGGGCCCTCTATGCTGCACCCCCTGTCACATTGTTCAAGCAGTGGGCCTCCTATGCTGCA